AAGCATCTATAACTGTTATAAAACATAAGAGCATTCCTCCCAGCAGAGTAATCCTTTCATTGCAGTTAGGTGAGTCCTAACCCTAACGCATGACAATAAAAATGTTACCTTTATGAGCTAATCCCTCCCCATGTGACTCAAAACTTCTCCATTCTGAGAGCTTTGGAGACTGTGAAAGGAAGTGAGGAATCACTGGTTGAGTCTCTTGCCTCCAGCAGTCTTGTCAAAGTAGAAATTGTCAATATCCAACAGTCCTTAATAATTTCATTGTAATCACCTAGTGGCTTCTCTTTGGAGTTATCCCTAGTGCAATTGCATTGCTTCCTGCATGTGCAGAATGCCAAGGAATACTTCAGTGCAGAATCAGAACTACCTTCACACCTCCAACTACAGCACTTTCAAACCAGGAGGAAGGCATGGAGCAAATATGAGAAAGTGCAATTTGCAGATAAGCAGTTAGTCAGAGATCCCACTCCTCACAGCAGAAAAAAAAAGAAAGGAAATCTGTCATGGCTACTGACCATGAAAGAGAAGAATTTTACAATATTGAACCTATTCAGATACATATGCAAGCAAGGTGACAAGGGCACTGAATGACATCACTGCCCTGCCACCTCCAGTTTTTTCTTACTAGACAGACAGCAGACCAATTTGATTAAAAATGTGTGTGTAATGGGAAGTTACTGCTGAACTCCATCAGCCTACAGGGCAACGTGCTGAACACAATGTCCACATGCATGATTATTTGAGCTAAACCCGGAAATTGCAACAGCAGGCAAGCCTGGTTGAGAACTTGCTGACCTCTGTACGCTGATCTTCCTGCAGCCTGCCTGCAGGAAGTAGGCCAAGGTCCCCACTGGGAAGCAGAACAGGAAGGAGCACCTCAAAGCTTCAGGTGACTGAAAACTGCTTGCTTTGCAAAGCTACTGGAAACGAGGCACGCTGTGATGACCTTCCTTAGCTAAACAGTGCACTGGGCAGACTAGGAGACAGGCTGAAGAAGCTGTAGCAAAGGGAATTACTCACTACTGCACTACAAGTATGTAAAACCACAGTGCAGAGGTCCTACCTTTTCCCTAGATACTAGTAAAAAAGATAGTGACAGGTGTTTTGTTTTTGAAGCACAAATACAGAAGACAAAACAATTTCCAAAGCAGGCTTACATTCTTATTATCCATGGTGTGTTTTTCCATAAGAGGTCGCTGATCTTTTTGTTTGAAGAAGACCTCAAAATTGCCAACCCCTTCTGTACAGCAAGAACCATTATCAGGTACCAGTCTCATGAGATGAAGGGACTTTCTTATCACTGCAAAAGCAGATAAGAAAGAACTGAACAAGATGACAAAATAAATAATCCTTCTAGCGGTGAGGGCAACACCTGAGATATGTGAAGGGAGGCTTTTTTTTTGGTTTTTTTTTTTTTACTCAGAGAAAATTCAGGTTATTACTCAATTACCATGAACTTACAGTAGTCCCTTTCTGGTTTCTAAGGCTGCTGAAAGCTGTCCCAGGAAATGGGAAAAGCTAACACACTTTGCTTATCAGCTAAAAGAACTTTTTTCCTTATATATTTTATGGCATTTAAGAGCTGCTTTTTATATATATCAGTGGTCAGACCTTTGGCTTAGGATTCTTGCTGCTTCCAAAATGAACTTCTACTTCTGTAGCACAGGTCAGGGGATGAGATGCAAGATGTTCTCCATCCCACAGACCATAATTTGTCACCAGGTAAATCTTGTATAGAGAGGCAGAAATAAAATGATGACATAAAATAAGAAGATACCTAATGGGTAAAGCCTAATCTAAATCAGTAACCTGTGCAGGATGCAAATGCTTGAAAAAGTAAACTGAAATCCACCCAGGTGACTTGCATGGGAAAAAATCAACATAATTACATGTTACTGTGACTGTCATTACATGGACAGCAGAGAAGAACTGAGGAAGAGCTGACACCACACCCTGACTCACCACTCACAGTCACCTACCTTGCAGAGAAAAATAAATCACATGTCTTTGTGGCTGTGTTTTTAGAAAACTGAAAGCTTTTGTTAACAACTCATTATGTAATACGGTTCCTAGTGCCAGCATCTCACAATGCAAGAAAGAAGGGAATTGATTGCATAGGAGGGTGGAGACAAATGTACTTTTAAAGTTAAATGAGTCAGCTTGGAAAAACTAACTCAACACAACCTAAGGAGAGAAAGGGACAAACAGCACAAATACCTTACACTGAAAAAGTCCCCTGTGAGGGGTCAGAGCAGGGTGCACCAGAGACTGCTGCTAAACCATCTAGAAGGTAACCACTCTCACCACTTCCCCATCAAACTCCCTCTAGACTTTTGTTCCTTTCCTGAGCAGTTTTCTCGAAGAATCTGGGTCTTTCAGAAGGCAGTCCTGTGTGTCTGTTGGCTGCAATCCCGTATGTATGTAAACCTGGCAGCAAGGCTCCTGAGTGATAAGGCAAATTATTACTTTGGATAGGGACTGAATGTACTGCCATGACAGGCTGCAAAAACCCCAAGCCTAAACAAAAATAGTCAGCTAAACAAACACCAGCCCCCCTGCTTGATTTGTTCTGGCAACAACAGGAACCCAAGTTCTTATCACATGCCAGAGAATAATGGTACGTTTTGGCTTGCCTTGGTTTTAAACCGCAGCTGCTAAAAGGAAAGCCAGCAAACAGGGAAAGTGTTTATAGTAAGCACAAACTTCTCAGTGTACAAATACATGTGTTTTCATACCTCAGCAATTAACAGCTAGAACATGCAGTCTCATAAAGAAGAGGGCACAGCAAATGTACACAAACCCACCCTTTGTTTTAAGGAGAACAAAACAGCATGGGATCAATGAACTTGCAGAACACAGGCCAGATATAAGCATCTTGGTGAACAAAAGGCTGATGTAAACAAATGTCTCAGAGAATCTGCACATGCTAGAAAGCCAACAAAGGTTATCTGTGCTGGCAAATCTCGTTGCAGCTGTGTCTGCAGTTGCAAACAGGAATTTATGATCTTTGGCACACAAAGAGATGGCTAGAAGGTACTGGAGAAGGCGGATTGTTTACTGAATGGTTGCAGTGGTTGTTCTAGTGCTTCAGCTCCCAGAATCTGCACAGTGTTTTTCACGAAGTTTGTCCACCATACACACACTGATTTCACAGCACCCGATGATTACCAGTAAGGTAAGGTATGCAGTAGCACTCCTTAGATCAATTGTTACACCCAGGGAGCACGCATAGGGCCTAACAACGTGACAAACAGCAGGGCACCCTCCCACAGATAAATCCTCCTTGAAAACAGTACCAGGCCTGCAAAGACATATGTAGCTCCATTAAGTGCAAGAACACCAGTATGTGGCAAAGTCCATTTTAGTGCCCCTTTGGTGACAAAAATATTATGGCAGTGAAAACAAAAGTCCGTAGACAGCAAGCACCTGGCACTTCTGAGCCAGCACTGGGAAAGCCATTTCAGCTTGCCATCAGCAATCTCCTGCCTCGCACTTGGTCTGCAGGAAGCCTCCTGCCTAAAAGCTTTCACTATTCTTTGCTGTTAAATGAATTTTAGCATGAAAGACTAAGTGCACTGCTTGTAAGAGGCCCTCCTACCTTTGTATTCACTTAAATCTTCATATATCATTGAAGTAAAATACATTTGAACTTCTTACTCAAAGTGTTGAAGTTTTAGCACCTCTAGGCACATAGAACCATAGAATCATCATAGAATGGCTTGGGTTGGAAGGGACCTCAAGGATCATCAAGCTCCAACCCCCCTGTCACAGATAGAGCCACCAACCTCCGTATCTAATACTAGACTGGGCTGCCCCATCCAACCTGGCCTTGAACACCTCCAGGATTGGGGTATCCACAACCTCTCTGGGCAGCCTGTTCCAGCACCTCACCACTCTCTCTGCAAAGAACCTCCCCCTGATTATCCAACTTAAATCTTCCCTCCTTTAACTTAAAACCATTTCTCTCTGTCCTGCCATTATCTACTCTTGTAAAAAGTTGACTCCTCTCCTGTTTGTAGGCTCCCTTTAGGTACTGAAAGGCTGCAATGAGGTCAGCCCACAGCCTTCTCTTCTCTAGGCTGAACAAGCCCAGCTCCTTCAGCCTGTCTTTGTAGGGGAGGTGCTCCAGCCCTCTAATCATCTTAGTGGCCCTCCTCTAGACCCTCTCCAGCAGCTCCCTATCTTTCTGGTATTGGGGGCCCCAGACCTGGACACAGTACTCCAGCTGGGGCCTTAGGATAGAGAGGGACAATCACCTCCCTGCCCCTGCTGGCCACCCCTCTTCTGATGGAGCCCAGGATACCATTTGCTTTCCGAGCTGGAAGAGCACGCTGCTGGCTCATGTTAAGCTTTTCATCCACCAGGACTCCTAGGCCCTTCTCTGCAGGGCTACTCTGAAGGATTGCTCCTCCCAGTCTCTCTCTCCTATCCCTTCTTTTTTTTCTTCCCTTAATCTTCTGGGATTTGCTCAAAGACTGTTTCAAAGACAGGTATTGTTTTTGCTACTACATAATTAGCAGTTTCTGCTATAATAGTGTAATTCTCAAGAGATCACATACGTTATGTTCTAGTGGGGATTATAGGTACATACAGTTATTCTACCTATTCTGCTCAAAAAAACCAAACAAATCCACAACAAAAAAACAACATACCAATTTTATAATATTTTCTTAAAATCAAGTCATGAACAGGAGACATCTTATAATCTGGAACACGTCTTGACTGCAATTGATATTTCTCATATTTCAAATGACAGCAGCATTGTCAAAAAATTTCTGCAATGAGGAATATCATACCTGTAAAGAGGCATAATGCGTCTCTTTCAACATTAATACAAAGATAAGCCATTCTAGAAGATATAGTCACAACTGTAGCTGCTACTTAGTATACAGAACTCCTTTTTAAGGTCAGCTGTATAAAACAGATACAGAGAGACATTATAAATAGTATTAAACATTACTAAACAACTAGAACTCTCATTTTCTCCCTGTAGATCTATTCCCTAATGTCAAATGAAAGTGTCTGAAAATGATAGACCTATTACAGTTATTGCTGGGGGGGGCCTTACAGGCCTATGTGTGGTTGGTTCCTTACTTTTACACGTGTGAGCCTGCTAAAAGTAGAGTTCTGCATCTACTGTTCCATCGTAACCCTTCATCCCCTTCTAATCCACCCATATCATGGTATCTGAGCTCAGAACAGGAACAAACCACAAGCATTTTCATGAAACAGCAAAAGACTATCATTGCCAAGAACAACCTTTATTCTTTTCTAACAAAGATCATATGATAACTGAGCAGATACAGTAATTTCACTAAAACGTATCTGATAATTACATATAATTACACAATGATAACATTTATTTAAGAACTGCTAGTACCTTGTGACAGAACGCCCTCCCCCCAAGACTAGCAGTGTACTTGCAAAGCACTTTATAGTTTAGATCAGATGCCAGAGTCCTTCTGCTGAAACGGTGAAAACCAATGTAGCCTTGCACTGAAATATAACTAGATAATATCATACAGCGAGCTTAGATTCCACAGGAGAGGCACAAGACTGTCAAAAGCACATTTAAAACCACTCCCGATGTATTATTGCACTATATTCACTCCAGGAAATCAGGGTTTTGGATGCACAGACATCTTGCCCCCCCAGTTCTGTTAGAGACCTCTCTCCACTCTTCTTCATAGGGATGGAGTGATTAAGGGCCTCCTCCTCTGCAGCTTGTCCTATTCCATAACCTGCTGTCCTAGACTTGGGCAGAAAACAGCAAGCACTACCTATTTCAGCAGCAGCAGCAGATCACAGAGAAAAGTACTAGAAGCTAACAGCAGTGCAGATGCCAACTCAACCCAGTTAGATAAACACACAACTGTGATATGGGACAGAAAACTACAGTGTCCTTGAACAATGTGGAATTACAAGAAATTACTTTCTACACCTTATTGATCTCCCAGGTAGGATTAGAGATCCAGACATCTTTCATTCTGAGGACTGAGCACAGAAACTGTCAGCTTTTGCCTACTTAAAAGACATTTCATTTGGTAGTTGACGTCCTGTGCCAACATCAGTCCAACTATCCCCAACTTCGCAGTACTCTTCTAAGGAGGAATATCTGACAGGAAAGTATGAATTCTTACAATGAACAACCTCCATTGGGGAACATTCAACTACAAGAATCACACTTTTTTGAGACACTTCAAGAATCACTTTGTTCATCAATACTTTCCTAAACATGAGACTCAGCAGTCCTTTGTTTCACCCCTCTAGTACTTAATTTCCCTTTACACTTCACAACACACAGTGGAGTGCTGAGAATTGCACACTATCTCCTGCTTACTCAGTGAAGCCACTCAGTTACGTGTCTGGCAGCACTGTCACTGCTTTGTGTTCTGCCCTGGTATGCAGAGACACTGGGTGTCATGTTTCATGACACGTTCATACTCTATTTCCCACATTAGGCCAACCTCATATTTCAGTGGCATACAGCAATTTCCCACAGTAACATGAATCCTTGATGTTCTACACTAGACACAAAAGGAAAGGGAATTAAATACTCAATTCATTATCCCGAGAATGATGAAAAGATACTGGTTAAGTCTGATGTTCAGGGAAGAATTTTACAAGAAATCTAACTGTCAGTCACCTGTTCACCTCATTGGTAAAATATCAGCAATCAAAACTAATCATGATACATTACATGGACTTTGAAAGACATTTTTAGAGAGATACAGATGCTCTATAGATACATTTCTATTTTCTGTCCTGTCTGAACAACTCTAGTACATCTAGAACGCCATTCCTGTTAGAAAGATAAGTCCCTCTAAAACCCCTTCCCTTCTTGGATGTAGAATGGGAACAAATTCAGCTTTCTGATAAGACTTTAACTAGGCAGATCAAACACATTTAAATGCTGATAGAAGACATCTACATTTTGGTTGGATCTTGTGCTCAGTGCCATTTCTAGTATCTGACTTTAATAGATCTTACCCTCCTTCACTAATCAGGTCACCTGCATATGAATGTAAATTTATATTTGAAAGGCAAACTAAAGCATACATCCACCAGACACCCAGTGGAATGTGTGCTTCCACAGAGATACATGTATTATTTTGCCTTACACCACACCATGCTGATTTTGTGTGCATCAATGGAAAAAAAACATGTTCAAAACTCTCAGAGCTGGAGATGCAGCTACAGAATAAATAAGGAAACAAATACAGAGCCAAAAATAAAAATAGCACTAACCTGAAGAAAAATGCACCACTGTTAACAAAGGAGATTTCATCTGTTAAATCCATCTCCTTCAGACATGAACTACTGTCTGTTAATCGGAGGCTGACCTGAGGTGTTTCAACTGACAAGCCTGGTTGTGGCACTAGGTGTGTTCGACTGGATCCTTCCCTTGTGGACTTTGCCACCTACAGAAGCAAAGAAAGAGAAAATTGAAACAGAGCAACTTCTGCAGATAAGCTCTAACAGAAAGATATTCCCTACTGATGTGCAAACAGCAAATAAGACAAGTTACAAATCAATGATATTAAGTGCACATAAATCAAAAGTTCTGCCTGTTTAAAGACTATCTAAAGAAAAATAAATATATGCCTATTGAAAAATGAGAGTAAAGGTGAAATAGACTAAAGAAAGGCAAGTATAATAAATGGAAAGTTGTTTCCTGTATCACAGAAGATGAACTAGAAATACTCTCATTGTATCTTTATCTTGACACCAACTAGATAAACAGAAGGTAAAAGAATCTTAAGACCTCTTCCCATTTTAAAAAGGAAGTTGATTTAACTTATACGCTAGAGGAGAATTCCTCAAGATGTGGACTTCATATGTTGATGATCTTTGTGGATGCAGCCAGAACATGCATTTATAGCTGGGCTTCCTACATTTAAGATGAAGTTCCCAAGTATTGGGCCAGGGCTCTTCCCTTCAGTGGAAGTGTGCAAAACCAGAGAGCAGATGGTGCTGTATTTTCCAGTATCAGCAGCAGACAGAGGGCATGTAGGGGAGGAGAACAAGAATCTGTCCCTAATACACTGTCCCAGCTTTTGGCACTCTGTGACTTTGGGCTTTCTTGAACTTGGAAGTTGAACCTGCTTTACTGTGTTTAACCAGTCAACACTGGACAGATCCTTAGTAATTATGTCCAAATTTCCTCAGGCCCACTTATGTCTTTAGCCTTTGCAGGATCCTCATCTGGGAGCTTCACATCTTATTGATTAATAATGAATAAACAAACAAAAAAACACAAACTACTTTATTTCAGATAGAATTCAAGTACTAGGGAAAGATTATCTGTTTCTACGAGAATTTGAAAACACTACTTCAAACCCACATTCTCCATATGATTTTTGACTTAAAAAAAAACCAAACCTACCACTACTCCATTAGTAGTCTCTAATGAGACTAATCAGTTTATATATTTTCTCACTTTACAGAAGTCACTCTGATGCCTTTGATCCATTATGCTGCTTTTCTCTATACCTTTTCATTTCGGCTAAATCCTCCTTGAAAAGAGGTTTCTAGAACTGAATTTTATATATAGGTAAATCACAGATTTATTTATTCTTATTGAAATGCAGCTTTTTGTTTGCTTTCATTACTGTTGACTGAGCTTTGTGAAGTTTCCATAGCATCAAGATCTCTTTTCTGAAAAGAATACTCAATTTGGGACTCATCAGTATGTACATTCAAGGAATGTCTGGATTTTGTGTTGAGGGACATGGTTTAGTGAGTACTATTGGTGATAGGTGGATGGTTGAACTGAATGATCTTGAAGGTCTTTTCCAACCTTGGTGATTCTGTGATATATTTATATAATTTTGGGGTTTTACAACAGCAGTTAGCATCTAGTGATGGAAATACACCCATTATTTTTTCATCTATTATAGAGTATCTTAAGAGCCTTCCATAAGTTCCTGTAGCCAGCTTTAAATTTCTCCTGCTTTGAAAAATTTTCTGTTATCAGCATATTCAGCCACTTCCTGGGTCACTATTAGAAAGGCTGAAAAGTATAAATTCCATCAAATATCCTTGAGAAACTTCACAGACAATCCCTCTCTGCTGAGAAAGAGACCATTTATTTTTATTGCTTTCTAATTATTAATCCGTAAGACTTCCCCTCCAACTGCACGAGAACTCTGCTTCTTTAAATGCCTTTGATAATCTTATCAAAACCTTTGGAAGATTTTGAAGTGCACTGTAGGGGCTATGCTTAAACACATGCTTACTGCTTTCTATGAGACACAATTATTTTTTCTCTGAACAAGTAACGCTGGTGCCTTCTGATACCTATAATCATCCATTTGTTTATTAATCGCATTGCAGTTTCTACAAATCTGGATGGTAATCAAGTCCTTCTGGAACACTCCTGAACCCTCTGCATAACAACCTTACTGTAAGATATTTTTTTAAAATCTGCTTTCTGTCAATAATGTACAACCCTATTGCCTGTATTGGTCACTGGCTGATGACACCACAAGAACTGGGTGCACAGCTTGCAGATGCCAGGCTGTGACTCTCAACTGCAAACAAAAGGGATGCTGTGGTTTAAGAGTGGGAGACAATGTCTTCATGGAGCAAAGGAGGCAAACCGAGGCTACCAAACTGACCACGCTGACCATGGGCCAGCAGTGTGCCATAAAAAAGCAACCCATGATCAGCAAGACGGGGAGCTCCTGATAAGCAGAGGGTCCTAAGACAGGGCACAAGAGAAGCCACGCAGTGCCACTGGCTGAGCATGCAGAGCAGAGAAAGAACTGATCCTGCACTATCCTTTTAGTACCACTGCAATAAAAATGTGGATTTAAGTAAAAGAGACAACTTCTACAATGTATCATATGTGACAGCTCTGACTGAAGACCGGAAGGCAGCAGAAAGCCAGCCATTCCCCCGTAAGCATACCATATATGCATACTGATTTCAGAAACACAGTTAACAGTGCTAAATGATTTTGCTACCAGGTATTGTATTTATACCCAGCAACAAGTGCTAGGAAACTGGAAACATCTACCAAACAGCATGAATCAACTTCCCTCCCTGCAAACTCTTCTTTTGAACTGTACGCTGATTTACTCACACAGGGGAATTCCACACGTACACATGCAAAATTGTTTGCTATTCCAGTGCTCTGAAAAAAAAAGTTTTGGTAGAGTCTTCAATTCTGCTCACCTATCTAAAAGACAATTTGGATACAAGCACTTCCTAAAGAGGACATGTCAATCACATACAAGATCTGCAAGAAAATTCTGCTTGAAAGATTAGATTCAAATTTAAGACCACCACTGCATTTCTAGGGCACACCAAAATTAATAAGAAGTGGAAAGAAGCACTATTTCTGTTCTCCATTGCAGACAACCTATAAGCTAGTATTTTGCAAGTCTTGGCTTACAAAATTATAGCACTGTAGTTACGTGCCTAGCAATACATCCTACAGGTAATCATAGAATGGCCTGGGTTGAAAAGGACCTCACAAATCCTCTAGTTTCAACCCCCCTGCTATGTGCAGTGTTGCCAACTACCAGACCAGGCTGCCCAAAGTCACATCCAGCCTGGCCTTGAATGACACCAGGGATGGGGCATCCACAACCTCTCTGGGCAGCCTATTCCAGTGTGTCACCACCCTCTGAGTGAAAATGATACTTTGTATCTGAATTACAATTACATATACATTCTTTCTGCACAAAATTGTCTTCAGTTGCATCAGTATAAAAATTCATGCAAAGAAATAATTGAACAGAGTTATTCAGCCTATGTATTACAAGTTAAATAAATAAAATAAATAAAATTAAATAATATCTATTTAAGTAATGTCTTGAATGCTTATTAAGAACAAGAAGTAAGAATGTTCACTACCTCATGCTAATTTTTGGTGAGACTGTGAAAAAGCTGCCTACACAGCTACGGTAATGATGGAGCTTCACTGAAGTGCCATGAAGATGAAGACTTGCCCATTGTCAAAGACTTCTATAATCTGAGTTCCTAACAAAACAGATTAAAGAACTACACACAGAAGTAACTGAAATGCTTTCTGGATCCCAGAGCTCTCAAGAGAAAATATTTTGTTAGAGATGTGTGTGTGCATGCACACTCTGGCACAAGCAGATGTTTCATGCAGTGAAGTTTGAGAAGACAATACCTTACAAACTGAGAACAGTATCTTGCAGGACAACACAACTTCAAACTATTAATGATAAAGATAATACTGGCTTGTAGTAATAATAAATGTTAGATGCCAGAAAAGAAGAGCAGTACTGCATAAAGGATCTTGTACTTTTCTGCAACACACTCTTTTCATGATCAGCCTGAGCTGCAACATTACTGGTTGAGTGATGCTGGAGATAACCAAGCAAAACCTCCTCCCAACAACTACTACAAAGCACTTATAAGTATGTAACAAGTTCAAGAATTAGGTTTTTTTTTCTCCTTTTTGTTTGTTTTAAAGACTATGTGACCTGCTAGATTTTGAAACATAATATTACAGGATGTACAAAGCTCTGTAGGAGATTTGTAATTACCTGTGCAACTACCCATTCAGTGATCAAGAAAATTCAAGAGAGATTTATAAATGTTTTGTGTCGAAGGACTCCCACTGTTGCCCAGGTAAGGGCCATCCTTAACTACGAGGCAGTTGTTTTCATGTTTTCAGCTTCTGCTCTTAAAATATAAACCAAAAAAAAAAAAAAAAAGAGCCACTGCTGATTCTTTCAGATATCAACTTCTGCAGCAGTTGTTTTGCATCCCTCAGGATGACTTCTGGAAAATGTCATGCTTCTACTTTTAGCTCACAGTCCTTCACTTTCAATTTATGATGTTTTTAGTTGTTGTTGTTGTTCTTTTTCCTTCTTCAGATTTAACACCATATAATCAAGCAAATATTAATCTGACTACATTGTTTATCTGCCTGATCATGAGTACGAAGTCTCATTAGTCTTAATGAACTGGCCAATGGGGCAGAGTGCACCCTCAGCAAGCTTGCAGGTGACACAAATCTGGAAGGAGTAGGTGGTAAGCCAAGGGGTTATGCTAATATCCAGAGGGACCGGACAGGCTGGAGGGGTGGGCTGACAAGAGTCCAATGGAGTTCAACATAGAGAAGTACCAAGCTCTACTCTGAGTGCCTCTGCTTGAACAGTGATTGGACAAGACGAACCCCCAGGGTCCCTTCCTACCTCAGCCAGTCTGTGATTTTGTAACCTCACCTATGACATTCTCATCTATCCAGCAAATCAACAGATCATATGAATTGCTGCATAACATGCTGTGGCATGTTTCTAAGGAGCATTTTGTTCCAGACAAAATATAACTGCTAGTTTGTGAAGGAGAAACCACTAAATCTTTGAAAATACATAACAAGCTTCACCTCCCAGTTAATAGTCTTAGACTTGGGAGCAAAAAGCAAATCGTCTGATAC